AACTCGCCTTTGTCTATCAAGGTCGTGACCGACCTGCCAATCCGTTCTAGTTTTAACACATGTGTTCTCAATCATTCTTTTGCAACTTATGAAAGATTTGAGTTGTATTTATTTCATTGTCATGACATTATCTAAATACTAAACTATCTATATTATTTACATTACTATAAACGTAAACAAGGAGAATTGATTCTTGTTTTACAACTGTCTTTTATCATTCCACAGACGAAAAGCTATCATGCTGAGAGCTCTAGGTGAAATCAAGTCTGGCGAGGAGTTCTTGGTATTACAATGAACATGCATTTGGAGAGGGTAATGAATATTGTTTATGTGGAGAACCGAAATGTGATAGCTCAAAGGCCAGATAGTCTAGTTCACAAGAAACAAGCTTTCCAGTTTCAACTGATAATTTTCCGCCGTTGCAAAGATCGAAGAAACGACGACCTCGTCATTACAAAACTCGCTCTCGTGTAAAATACGCAAAGATATCTGACACCAGTGAAAGCGTGTTCAATTTTTATGGAACAAGTACTTCACGTTACTCAGATTCAGATACAGTTTTAATCCCTGATTATCAGTCACAGGAAATCTTTGAGTTCCCGGTACGGCAAGTTGATAATGCAGATGAAATCTTTTTCTCAGACAATGATTTCGAAGAGTCCTCTCACTCCACAGATGTGTCCGAAAATAATCGATTATATCAAACAGCAGTTCTTGTGCCTGAAACTGAATTCAGCGTACAAACATAAGCTCGACGATGTTCTTGTAACAAGTGCTAGAAAGTTGTCCGCCAGCAATATTGCCCTATCGGTTTTGTGTATAGTCACAAAACATAATGGATCGGATGCGATGATGTTCGATCTGCTCAGGCGCGACCAGGTGCTTTTCGATGAAACGTGCTTACCTTGGCGAATGTAAGAAAAAATTCTTAAAGAAACAGAAACAACTAAAAGTCGTGGCCAAGAGCATGCCCAGGGCTTCACAATCTATATAAGGTTTGAAGATCTGCTCAAAAACATAGAGGCTGATAATTCGGAACCAATAATCAGATATTCTGAAACCAAATTGTATGAAAAAGACATTCCCATGGAGCGAATCAGCTTTCAAAAGACAGCGAAGTGGTGAGAAATATCGTGAATAGTGACGGAGCGAAATTCAACGACACACTTGCGGAATCTGTATGGCCAGTGTGGCTAGCAATTGCCGACTTGCCTCCAAACTTCCGCTCAAAGTACCATAACATCGTCCTGTCTTCCGTTAATTACGGACGTGGCAAACCTGACTTTGATGAAGTTTTCGAAGTTTTTCAAAACGAAATAAGCGAGCCTAGTGTTATTGAAATTGGAGGCGAAACCGTAACAGTGCGCTTTCAGCCAATTTTTCTGGTAGCAGATTTGACAGCGAAGTGCGCTATTCTAAACATGAAAAAGTACAACGGTTCCTACGGTTGTCATCCTTGTGAAAAGCGTGGCATGCATACCAATGGAGGGCACAGATACCCTCACAAAAAAAACCATCATTTCGAGACTGAACGAAACCTACTTAAGTTGTTTAGAAGTCGCCCTAGACAGGGCAAGAAATGAGAGAAAAATGAGAAATTCGAAAGGTTTCGATAATGAGAAGGACGAGAAAGGTGTCCTGGGTACAAGTCAAATTCTTTCTCTGATCCCAAATAGACCCTTCACTTGCCCTATCGACACAATGCACCAGCTGGAAACTGTTGCTTCTCACCTGATTGGCTTTTTCTATACTCGGTTGCCGGAAAGCACGAAGTTGGAAATTAATGCTGCTCTTGTATTCTTCCAAAATCATCATGAATTCAAAAGAGCTGTCACGTCACTTGAAGATCGTGCGCTGTTCAAAAGCAAATGAGTGGGAAATGATTCTGCTTTATTTGCTTCCAGTGATGTTATCATCCCTACTCAAAGGCGAAAACAAAGACTCCGACATTCAAGATTTAGTGAAACTCGTTTTTTCTCCGCGATACCTTTACGAAACTAGTATGTACAGTAAAGTTTGTGATGCACTTATTAAAGAATTTTGTCGGAGTATGGAGAAGAAGTATCAAAAAGACAAATTTGATCATATGAATTATCATCTCCTCCGTCATCTTGCCTGCAAACTGAGCTGCCAATTATTACTACGTCAGCCTCTATGTTCGAGAACGCGAACTACTACCTGCTCTCCGCATTCACGGGCACTACTAACCACTGCAGTGTTTTTGTGACTCGTTTTATAAGAAGCAAAATGATTCACAAATCGATCATAATGGACGATGCTCTCAGCCAAAACCTTGAGCGTACAACAGGAAAGGAAAGATCTTTCAATGATGTTTTCGCTTTTAACGAAACGCTGGATGTGAAAAAATTCCGGAACGAACACCCTGACAATCGCATTTAATGACGAGATATTTCCAAATTTTACCCACGTCATCAGCCTATAGTCGATGTTCTGGAGCGGATAGATTTGTGAGTTTCTATACTATACTTGGTGAAATTCTGTTTTTTTTTCAATGCGACAGACTGCTGATGTTTCATAGAAAGTTACAGAAAAGTTGAAACACTGAAGCTTGTCGATTGTAAAATAAACTACTCTGATGTTCTACCTTTTGGTTGAAAAAACAAACAAAAAAACTGTAGTTCCTTTACATCATATTTCTTGAAAATCTTACCTGTTCAATGGAAAAATAGACAATACTTAGTTTCTTTGTTGAAGCATTTTGAACCTGATTGAGTATTACCCTATATTCCAATGTACATTTTAACTTTTGTTTCTTTTAAGCAAAATTAGTTGAATAATTTGGTGACAGTACTGAGATGGACATTTGCATATTGCATCTGTAATTTAGCCTTCATAACCAAAAAAAAAACAAATGAGAAACGGAGTGTTATTTTCGCTTGAGGGTAGCTTGTTTGGGTTGGTCCCTATGTTCAGCAAGTTTTTCAGTATAAAGTCAAGGTTTTGCAGACTTATGTTTAGATTTAGCAGAATTATGTTCAGACTATGCAGACTTATGTTCAGACTATGCAGACTCATGTTCAGACTTTGCAGACCTAGTTTCAGACATATCTTCAGACTCTGCAGATTTATATCCTGATTTGCAGGCTTATGTTCGGACTTTGCAGATTTTTTTCTGTGTGGCGACTATAATTTTCCGGTCCCCATGCGGATCGATTCAGACTTTAAAGAATTTATGTTCAGACTTAGCAGACCTATGTTCATACTTAGGTTCAGACTTTGCAGACTATATTGAGACTTTGAAGACTTATGTTCAGACTTAAGTTCAGACTTTGCTGACTATGGTCAGACTTTGCAGATTTATGTTCAGACTTTGAAGACCTATGTTTAGACTTTGCAGACTTCGACCTGCGTGGCGAATATGAGTTTTCGGTCCCCACGCGGCTCGAACCAGACTTTGCGGAGTTTATGTTCAGACTTTGCAGACTTATGTTCAGACTTTGCAGACTTATGTTCAGATCTTGCAGACTTACGTTCAGACTTTATAGACTTATGCTCAGACTTTGTAGACTTATGTTCAGACTTTGCAGACTTATGTTTAGACTTTGCAGACTTTGATCTGCGAGGCGACTATGAATTTTTGGTCCCCACGCGGATCTATTCAGATTTATTAAGTCTGAACATAAAACCACGACCTCGACCCGGGACAGTAAGCAGTACTATCCCAATCGTGGACACTTCAGGGAAGTATTTGCATTTGAAAAACATTTTTCATTGTTTACAAATTTTCTGTCTATTAAGGTCTTGACGAGTACCGAACCCCAAAACAACAATTACACAGAGGCAAAGCTCTTCGCTTCGCAAGCACTAGCGAGAACACGCTAAAAAAAGCAGCTCCAAAAAGTACATTAAGATGTCGAGATATACTGAGTTAGCTAAATTGCGAGATATACTGAGCTAGCAAAATTGCGAGATATACTGACTTAGCAAATTTCTGAAATTGAGTTTTAATAATTGCTGTTTGAAACAAATAGCTTTTTTTCGTTCAATTGATGAATAAAAACTGCATCAACTGTGTTAACTTGTTAATATTCGAATGTCAAGGTTCGAAAAAAATCAAGTTCCTAATAAAACACTAAGCTGATACATGTGTGAAAATAAACAATTGAGAAAACCTGAGGTACTGGGTCGTCGCCACTTAACACTTTTAAAAACTGCTATATGGCTAAGTGATCTATCAGTTCGCCAACGCTGGACTATCGTGAATCACAAGCCACAAGTTGAATAGTAAGAGGTCTGAAAGTTAATTAGGTTTTTTCATCTGATAGTAAAAACAAATATATGGACGTAATAACAATATGATTCTAGAAAGCTGATAGAAACAAGCAAGAACAAAACGAGCACTCAATATTATATCTAAAGACGTGCCTGTTTGATGAAAAATAATGCACAGAGGCGAAGTTGCAATTCGCATACACAAGCACAAATATGACCGATAACGCTACTGGGAACAACTGAATGATTTAAACTTTGATTCTACCAAATTTTTTAAGTGACGCACGCCAATTATGAGTCTACATAATTGCCAAAGGACGCAAGCCAATTATGACGCATTAGCAGTCAATATGAAAAAAATAAATTTACCAACTAACATACCTCATTTTATAGAGCGGACGCATGTTATCTGGTATACGAAAAAGTTCATTAAAAACATCCTACCCTGCTCAGATTCGAACACTTTTTGCGGGTCTCCTTCCCTACCTCTACGATACAGATCCATGATACCTTGAAGCTCAAGTGATATGTAATGTAATAGCGTGTGTTAATATCCTTAGCTTTGGCTCTACTTCATAGCAGGTTATTGATCAAAATCAGCACTTTCAAAATGATCTCATTTTTTCACAACAAAATTTGCGACTTAGTTTGAAAAAAAAGAGAGTTCATACTTTAACACAAGCTTTGCTTGTGTAAATAACTTTTTACTAGAACAGATTTTTTTTATTTTGTCCAACAGTCCTGTTTTTGCTTGAGGCTGGATATAATATCACTTCTTTGGTTAATTGCAAAGAAAACTCAGTCGAAAATATACAAAATTTACTTTTCATCTAAAATTATCTACGTATCACATGGTGCAGTTCCAAAATTAGGCTTCATTTTTAGTCTATTTGGAAACATAATCACAATAAATTTATTTGGTTAAATGCAAACTGGAATACAATTTTGAAAGTCTCATCAGCCATCTTTTTAGATAACATCAATTTAGATCATTTGAAGCCGTGCCGCGACATTTGGGACAGAGACATTTTTCCGCCAATTTAACATTGCAGCTATAATTCTTTTTTTAATCGAATAATTGAAAACGCTTGCTGCGCTGACATTCTGCACGAGAGGAATATTGCGCGAGAATCAGTGTTTGTCGCTAATCTAGATGAAATCAGATGTCTCAAACTGAAAATGTTTTTGCTTAAAAATCTGTTATGGTGACCGAAATGTCTCCGTCTGAAATGTCTTAACAAATTCGAAGCAATTAAGCAAGTTGATCGAAAATCGTACTATCAACAGGGCTTGAAATTTACACTGCGCTGAACATAACAAGAACTAGTTGGAGGAATGCTAAGTGAAGTTGATATTTAAGGCACTACATTGTAGCAAAACACAAACGGCCGACTATTTACTTTACGGACAACTTACTACTAAAATGACCATCCGTGCGGTGATCTATAATCATGGCAGTTAGTGTCTTTTTTCACGATTAGCAGAGCATCTCGGTATAAGAACAGTAGAACAAAGTACAAATTTCATACGCATCAAATTCTATTTATACCCAGCTGTTTTTCTGCGATACAAACATTTATGTACACATACAAAAAGCCAATGAATGTAAAAAACTGCCGTATATTCCATGTTTTTTAAGCACTTTAATAATGCCATCTGGCAATTCGAACCACTTGAAGTCATTTTCGTGAAAGAGGAAACACGCTTTTTTGTTTATAAGTTTGAAATAGTCCGTTTTAAAAACAATTCATGATGAGCAACCACATAAGACTCCAGTCAACGATGTCTTACAATAACAACTAATTCGACGAATAAAGTAAAAAACATAGCCAAGATACAGTTGGAAAAAAGAGACAACGAAGGCAAGAAAACGGGAAAAAATACTAAATTATAATTTCGAAATAATTAATAACTTCGAATTTCAAAGAAAAAAATAGATGGACTTAAACCCCTTTAATTTTTAAGAACATTTTATGATTTACTCTTTTTTGGTTAAATTAACTGAATTTGAAAAAAAAATGAATCGATAGGTAAATTTTTTTATTTCGCTGGGAAACTCTGAAAACTAAATTCTACAATTAAATTAAAAAAGGAGAAAAAATATATTTGAACCTGAACAATTTTAAGACCTTTCCTGAAAAAAAAAACAAAAAAAAGAAAAATAGCGACCTATATATTTAAAAAAAAAACGTTTGTGAAAGAACAAATAGATGACAAAAAGGCAAGTTCTGGCCGGACTCAAACCTGGGGTCCTTCTCATCTCAAGAATGACTGTCTCTGCACGAACTGGGAAAACCAGTCATTTAATTTTCATGACGAGCCACGCTATCGAACGATTATGCTAGACATTGTTTACCAAAAAAGCCAACCTTGCGATTTGAAAAGACTTTCTAGCCGCAAGTTAGATGAGTAAAACTCTATCGCCGATGGGGAATAATAGGATTCTAAGTTAAAATGATAGAACATGAGCAAGTCCGTTCGTCCAATATTTGCAGTACAGGGCACTTTGTCCCTTGTGGTCTGGTCTGGTCGTCTCTTCTTGTACAAGATGAGAGAGAGAGAGTGAAATAGTGATGAGGGGTGGATGTTATGCGAGCTCGTCGTGGTGTGGTGTCTCGTTCTACAGCGTCTCGTACCCAGTGTACTTCTTGTACCTCCTGGAGGCGATGACGTAGGCAATGAGGACTAGCGCAATGAGTCCTGCCAGCACACAGCCCACAATGATCGGAATCAGCTTGCTCTCCGGCTTGTCTTCCAAACACACATCCACTTCTAAATAAACACAACAGTAGCGACAGTCACATTAGCATCAATAGTGCCATTACGGCGGCCTATTCAATTCAACATTTTCAGCACTTGATTCTACATTCGCATTGGCAATTGCCATTACATCTGCATTATTCCACAGTCGCTGGGAAAACGAAAACAAAACAACCTTACCATGTTTTCCAGACTGATGACAATTCTCGTCTATAATGATTGAGTGCCCACCAAATTTTGGCGCCCCATATAATTTTAGGCTGCATGCACTTTCACTCACCGTTGCTGTATCGGCTGTTGCTGTCTTCGTTTTTGACTTCGTCCTTCAGGAGCATATGGTCTTTTTTCTCATTCTGAAGTGGGGGTTGGGGGAACACGAATGCCTGCAATTTGAGATGGGACACCTTCATTACCAACTGGTTGGGAGTGACTATGATGAACGCATCCGCCTCACACTTGTACATGTGACCCATCGAAATTCCTGCCCCAGCAACAACAGACTCGTTCTCAAACCTCAGCACGTCTAGACAACATAGATCAATAACATAGCCAGCTCAATGTTAGAGTAAACTAACAAGGGGCCCAGCTAAGCTGGAAGTACATGTTTGATGTTTATTAAGAATTTGTACTGATGCAAAAGGTAAGGCGTAATTTTCAAAATGACAAAAATTGGTCATTTACCTAGTCTGGTGGCTGATATCCCATGAAAAGTACAGAGAAACGGCTTTTGTACGGGATATCACAAAAAATATCGATTGACTTCTAAACGGCACGGTCGGCTTGGAGAAAGTGAACGAAGAAGTCCAAAAAATGAGTCAAAAGGCCAATATTGGACGTTTCTTTCAGTCCATACCGAAATCCTTACCAAAATTGGGAGAACTCGCTGATGCAAGGTATACCCCTAGAACTTGTTATTTTGATTGAGTCCTTCTCAGATTTGGCCAGGTACATTCCAAACAAAACGTTTCCAGAAAACAAGCAATTTTTTTTAAACGACCATTTAAGGCCAAAAACTTTTGATCAACAAACAAGGGCAGAGCCATATATGTAGGAAAGATCCTTATCATCCTTTCTTTCGATTGAGCTCTTAATCCCTGTGACATTTAGAATAAATGTCATGACTTCGAACTGTGATAATCTGAGGGCTACAGCTGAACTCTCTTGAATTTGACATTATGCTATATTATTTCTCAATCTTTTTTCGATATTTGATTAACAAAATAACTTGACACGAATTTATACTACCAACATTGAGACCAGTTGGTTGGTTTTGCAATAAAATATATTAATGATGCATCCGAAGAACAGTATATATAAATGGTAGTCTAAAGCACTATCTGAAATGGTGACAGGAGTGGGATGTCACGAACTCACGATGTCAAGACATTTTCTATTCAGGCAAGACTTTCGGCATTCGACCATTGACCAGATCAAGCAGAGAAAATTTTGGACCAGCACTGAAAAGCCCAATAGAGAACAAACCTGGCCTTAATCAAAAGTCGCTCAAGAGATTAGCAAACGGAACATCAAGCGGCTAAATATCCCGGCAATGTGAATCAGCTCCTGGAGCAAAATAATGAGATCTTCGAATAGAAAGAGATTGTAATCCTGGTCCATTTGACGGTATTTTCAAGTTTCGACGTAATTGTATATTCAATTAGAACTCGATGGGGAAATCTAACTCCATTGACTGAGGATATTGAACGTTCAAAAAGCAGAGACGCGATTTACTAGCAGCAGTAAATGGTCCTCGTCAGTTGATGCCAGAAGATCATGGTACCCGGAACATCTGGAGATTAAAACCTACACAAGAGAATATCGATGGAAAAACTGAAAAAAAAATGGTGGGGAAGTTATTTCGAGGGAGTGTGACATTTAGAATAACTGTCATGGTTTTGAACTTTGATAATCTGAGGGCGTACAGCTGAGCTCCCTTGAATTTCACATTAGGCTATATTATTTATCAAACTATTTGTTGAATTTGATAAATAAAATTGACACAAAATTATACCACAAACATTGCGACATTATATTGAGACCAACAATAAAATATAGTAATTGTATTATGTTTTGACATCTTAACAACATCGGGACCCAGCATAAGCCTATCATGCATCCGAAGAACTTATACTGACAGTATATATAAATAGTAGTCTGAAGCACTGTCCGATAATCCTATATTTCGGAGAAATGTGAAAAAATTCTTTAAAACGGTCAAGATTTCAGAAATGGCCTTTACAAGTCCATACTTTTTTCTAAAAAAAAAAAGGTGGCCGCTTATACAAACCCTGAAATGGTCGACAGCATACCACTGCGCTTTCTACATTTAAAAAATGAAACAATTTCAATTGCAATATCATCAAAATCATTTATGTGTTTCAAAAACCAGCGTAATTACTTCTTTAAAAATCAGACCCTTTTTTCTTAATGTAATTGTAAGAGTAATAAGAAATTTAGTGCAATAATTTTAGGATGAGAGGCCACATAAGCATCCACTGCTAGTAACCTGACATCAACCCACTAGTGGGTCGACAATTTGAAATGTTGAAAGTATTTGTCTAAGAACTTTTGAAAAGTTTCAGAAAAAAACTCATATCTAAGTAAAAGGCGTTGAGTAGTTATAATGTGAGTCCAGGCAAACATCCTGAGAGTACCTTGAGACAACCTCGTCTCAATTTTGAGTACCCCTGCCTCCAATTTGGATTGCTCAATTTACTAGTTTCTGAAAGAAGCCGTTTTTTTTTTGCTTTTTTTCTGAAAACTTGAATAAATAAAATACTTTCCAAATTTTAAGTTTTCAGAAAAATCAAGCAAAAAACGGCTTTTTTTCAGAAATTAGTATGATTTGAGCAATCTTAATTGCAGGCGATATCTGCAACCACTGAGAGCACCCGGAGAATACCCCACTGTAGGGTTCGGAATTTCAAATTCTGATACGTTTTTTTAATCAATTTCGAAAATTTTTGAAAAAATTGATAAAACGTCAAATCTTGAAACCGAAAGATTTTGAGCAACCACCTGTGGAGGCAACCATTGAGAGTTCTTCGGCATCACATGGCAACGGGGTTGGTAATTTCATATTGTGAAATTTTCAAATCTAATTTTTCTGAAAAACTCATCAAATCATAAAAAAGTCTCGGAACAAAAAAAAAGATTTGAGAAGTCATATTTGGTCGAAGGTTGAAGGTTTGCAATGCCTGAGAGTACCCTGAGAGTACCTCACACTATGACGTGAAAAAAAGCATGACTCGATTACTGCAAATCGATTAAGGCGCAAAATCATGAAACTATCAACATCAACACGAAACCGGCACCATGTCCAAGCCGGAAAAAACATGCAAGAAAGAAACTACACATCACCGACAAATTTTTAAAATCAATTCAAAACTTAAAAACTTACTGTAAACTCCGAATGGAAGTTTAACTTTAAAAATCACGGATGGGAATTCAAAGCCATCGGTTTTTCATTTAGAATATTGCGTCTTACTTTTTATCCTATTGCAAAGTTTTTATAGTAAGAACCAATCAGAATCCATAACTGAAACTACACACTTATTGTAAAAATTGCCTTGTTTCACTAGTCAGTGCAGTATTACACGAGTTAGAAAAACGTTGATCTCAAAACTAAATAACCTTTCCCGTATTCCTGTAGATCTATCGAGACCAGGAACATGAGTAGGATTGCAAACAGTATTGGAATTAAAACTTGCACGAACCAGCCAAAAATAGATAGCGTGACAAACAGACAGTGTACTTGAGATGTCTGTGAGACGACTACTCTATGAGATGTCAATTTTTTGGCAAAATTTTTTTCCGCTGGCAGTTCGAAAAAATGCACATTTTCAACTATCAGCCATTCACGTCTTCCTTATAGCTAACTACTTCAAAGGGAACTCGAAAAAGTCAATCAACTTCATTCATTGACACCTAAACCATAACACAAATCCATGTAGAAGAAAAACAAAGATAGCCAAAAAATAATACCCCATAAAACTATTAGCTAGCGACAAGCGTAGCCAACCAAGAAAAATAAAAGCCAACAAACCTAACATGACAATTTTAAGCAAAAAAATAAAGCAGCAAGTCTAAATGAACTTAGGAATTTCTCAAAACTAGCTTTTTCCTTCGTGTAATTCGTGCTATTTGAACCTCCATGCATGTACAGAAAAATCGAAGAACAAAACCGACAGACTGTTTGAATAGAGCCAATTAATTCAACACAGAAAAAGTCTTTTTCTGAAAAAAATCTTATATTTCATTAACTCAAAAAAAGAAGGCTTTGAAGTTCTACGAGTTTCTTGAACAGTTTATGATTAACACTTTTTTGATAAAATTAACCCAATTTGAGAACACTAGATCCACGGGTTAACTTTCTATTCCGCTGGGAACCCGATCACGTTTCTTTGGCCTTATCACATTTGCTGATCGAAAGCGGAGTTTGCCTTCCTTTTAACAAAAGAAATGAACTGAAATCAAAACTCAAACCGCAAAAATCAAACTTGAGCTTGAACAAGCTTTAAGAATTTTCGTGAACAAAAAAAAATGACGACCTGTATGAGAGTCTTTACGTACATCGACTCTTTAAAACGATCTTGTTACACGGCCAATTAAATATCTAGTTTAAAAATTCAAGTCTAATTTTTTCAAAAGAGCATCCCTGTGGCTTGATATTGAAACATTTCACTAAAATTTACCATCAGTGTTCTGAATAGATGGAAAAAACTTCGGATCATTTGGGAACGTAACTTCTACTCCTAACAAAGAGTACGACTTGTTTCCCCTCGCGAAAATCAGATTCACATTCCAGGTTTTCTCATTCCAAGTCCACGTCGCAGGCACTTTCAGTGACTTTGCATGGGAACAGTTGTCCTGGTGCATGATTGCGTCTGCTGTTCTGATCTCGGGTACGAAGATCTGAACCTCTTTGATATCGCCCTAAAAACATGAAAACTCCTGAGCCTAGAAACTTCGCAGAACCAGAGAAACAATGCAGTGCAACTGAGAATTCTTCAGACTAAGGCAAAAGAAAAAATTAGATTTCTCAGACAATTTTGGCATCTTTCGATGTTTAAGAACGACAACTATAATAAAGCTACCGATAGGCTCAAAGCTGTCATAAGTGAATGTAGATGATATGGCTTTCGTATCCAGTCGACTGGCTTGCGTCCTCAGATTCCAACCTCAGTAACTATGCATATGGCGTTCCAAGAACATGAATGTGTCTATCTAGCGTTTTTTTTGAACGGGTCCTGCGCTTCCTACACCAATTCTCTCTCTCGCGTCTGCGGTAATGATTCTTACTTCTTTCTTAGTACAATTATTTACTTTTGTGTTCCAAGAAAAAGTTCCTTTCGCAAACTCTCCCCACATCAGTAAAATTGTCTCTAGTTCCACCCTCAGTAACTATATGGATTTTTGTTTCACTGATCTCGCACTTCCCTCCACAAAACCTTAACCACTTTCGCAACATCGTTCCTTGTTCGTCGCTCAGTACCAATAATTATCTTTAGATTTCACGGAATTCTGTGCGGTTTTGTGGCGCTTATTTGCACTGGTTCAGCTCTTCCTCTCGCAATTATCTCTCCATTTCCGCAGGGTTGTCTCTGGTTCCACCCTCAGTGACTATAAATCTTGCGTTCCAAGAAAGGAGTGTGGCTATCTGGCGTTTTTTTTGCACTGGTCGAGCAGTTCCTACCACAATTATTCCCGTTTCCGCAGCAAAGTTTCGTATTTCTTTCTCAGTTAAATTATCAACCTCTGTGTTCCAAGAGTTTGTCTGTCCTGCAGTTCTTTTCTGATCTCGCACTTCTTTCCACCATACATGTACAATACAATTTTCGCTACATAGTTTCTTGTTCGTCCCTCAAAGTCTAAATTCAGTTTCGCAACCCACGAAAACCAGTGTTGTTGTCCGGGGGTTCTTTTCGCTGGTTCAGAACTTCCTTTTGTAAACTCTCCCATCATCAGCAGTATTGTATTTAGTTCCACCCTCCGCTTTTTTTGCACTGGTTCAGCTCTTACTCTCGCAATTCTCTCTCCGACTTCGGCAAGTTTGTCTCTGGTTCTATTCTCATTGACTAGAATAACCTTGCATTCCAAGAAACGGAGTGTGGCTGTCTGGCATTTTTTTTTGCAAGGTCCAGTAATTTCTACCGCAATTTTTTTCCCGTTTCCGCAGCAAGGCTTCTTATTTCTTCCTCAGTACAACTATTCACTTCTGTGTTCCGAGGAAAAAAGTGAATGTCTACAAGTTTATTTCACTGATCTCACACTTCCCTCTACAAAACCTTTACACCTTTCGCAACATCGTTTCTTGTTCGTCACTCAGTGCCTATATTTAAATTTGGATTCCACAAATTACTGTGTGGTTTTCTGGCGCTTCTTTGCACTGGTTCAGCTCTTCCTCTCGCAATTATCTCTCCATTTCCGCAGGGTTGTCTCTGGTTACACCCTCAGTGACTATAAATCTTGCGTTCCAAGAAAAGGAGTGTGGCTATCTGGCGTTTTTTTTGCACTGGTCGAGCAGTTCCTACCACAATTATTCCCGTTTCCGCAGCAAAGTTTCGTATTTCTTTCTCAGTTAAATTATCAACCTCTGTGTTCCAAGAGTTTGTCTGTCCTGCAGTTCTTTTCTGATCTCGCACTTCTTTCCACCATACATGTACAATACAATTTTCGCTACATAGTTTCTTGTTCGTCCCTCAAAGTCTAAATTCAGTTTCGCATTCCACGAAAATCAGTGTTGTTGTCCGGGGGTTCTTTTCGCTGGTTCAGAACTTCCTTTTGTAAACTCTCCCATCATCAGCAGTATTGTATTTAGTTCCACCCTCCGCTTTTTTGCACTGGTTCAGCTCTTACTCTCGCAATTCTCTCTCCGACTTCGGCAAGTTTGTCTCTGGTTCTATTCTCATTGACTAGAATAACCTTGCATTCCAAGAAACGGAGTGTGGCTGTCTGGCATTTTTTTTTGCAAGGTCCAGTAATTTCTACCGCAATTTTTTTCCCGTTTCCGCAGCAAGGCTTCTTATTTCTTCCTCAGTACAACTATTCACTTCTGTGTTCCGAGGAAAAAAGTGAATGTCTACCAGTTTATTTCACTGATCTCACACTTCCCTCTACAAAACCTTTACACCTTTCGCAACATCGTTTCTTGTTCGTCACTCAGTGCCTATATTTAAATTTGGATTCCACAAATTACTGTGTGGTTTTCTGGCGCTTCTTTGCACTGGTTCAGCTCTTCCTCCCGAAATTCTCTTTCCCACTTTCGCAAGGTTATCTCTGGTTCTATCCTCAGTGACAAGAATAATCTTGCATTCCAAGAAACGGAGTGTGGCTGTCTGGCAGTTTTTTGCACTGGTCGAGCAGTTCCTACCACAATTCTTTATCCCGTTTCCGCAGCAAGGCACCTTATTTCTTCTTCAGTATTATTATTAATTCTGTGTGCCAAGAGTGTGACTGTCCTGTAGTTCTTTTCTCTGATCTCGCTTTTCCTACCACCATACATGTACAATTTTGGTTACATCGTTTATTGTCCGTCCCTCAGCGCTCTAGTTTTAACTTCGCAACCAACGAAAATCAGTGCCGTTGTCTGGGGCTTCATTTGTCTCTAGTTCCACCCTCAGTAGCTACACGATTTCTTGATTCCAAGAAAATGAGTGTGGCTGTCTAGGGTGTTTTGTTAGCATGGGTCCAGATCTTTCTATCACAAGTTTTTCTCCCGTTTTTGCAGCAATTTTTATTTTTCTCAGTTCCAAGAAAAGTAAGACTGATCCCTCCAATACGTTCACTTCAACTTCGTTTCTTGCTCATCCCTTAGTAACTAAACATTAAAACTTGCATTCCAAGAAAAAGAGTGGCTGTCTAGCGTTTTTTTTGCACTGCTCCAGCAATTCCTATCACAATTTTCTCTCCCGTTTCCGCACCACGGCTTATACCTTCCTCAGTACTTGTTGCATGAAAAAGTGCAGCAGTCTAACAGTTCTTTTCAATGATCTCCCATTTTCTTATACAATCCATCTACCACTTTCGCAACATTGTTTGTTGTTCGTTCCTCAAAGCCGAAATTTAATTTTTCATTTCAAGAATATGAGTGTGGTTGTCTAGCGTTTCTTGGCACAGGCCCAAAAATTCCTACCTCACTTCTCTCTTCAAGATCCGCCGCATCGTTTCTTTTCTCCATCATAAATCTTAGATTAAAAAAAGATGTGTTTGTTCAGCGCTTCTTTACAATCTTCTGGAACTTCCACATTTCTTCTCTCACTTCCACAGCATTGTTTTTTCTTCAATCTTCAGAACCTATGATTAATTTTGCATCCCAAAAACATGAGTGTGGTTGTCTAGCACTTTGCATTGACCCAGCTTTTCATCTTGCAATTCTCGCAGTTCAGCAGCAATTTTTTTTCCTTCCAAAAAATCTTCATTATATTTGCACTCCAAGAAAATGAGTTTGGTTGTCCAGCACTTTTTTGCACTGATGCAGCAAATCCTCCCACAATTCTCGCTTCCAATTATGCAGCAATGCTTTTTCTGACATCTTCAAAATTATTGAACGCCAGATTTGCAACACCTGAGTATATCGTGGCTGCACCCTACTACAAAGCTAACATTTCTTTTACTAAGATTCTTTCAAGGATAAGTTCTGTGAAAACTTTTGAAGAACATAAGCATCTTATCTGCGAAAAGTTAAAGAAATTTAACTGACATATGTTCAGGCCAGATTCGCACTCCGTGTGAGCTCTGAAAGCACCCTACCAAATTTATAAAACTTATTTAAAATATTGTTATATCAACACAGACGAAAAGTTGGCATTGCAAAAAAAACGAAAAAACTGAAGAACTAAAGCATTTTTGCTCCAACAGAAGGATGGTGAAAACCGTGAATGACCTTGAAAATTTGCGTTTAAAAATTTGTATAGATAAAAGACGTACTTCACTTGAAAGTTTGATGAGAATACTTCGAAACGTTGAATTCAATAATACTAGCGTGTAACGCACCTCCTGTGCTTCGAATTTTTAATAACTCATAAAAAACCGTAAATATTGGGGAAAAAATCAGCATCCTTTGAGTGTACTCTGACACCACTGAGTTACAGGGTGGGTAATTTCAAATTTTGGAAAAATTTCTATTCAAGTTTTCTTAATTCAAATTTTTTAAAAAACATTAACTTTTTTAAATCTAATTTCTTAGAAAAACTATAAAATCTTTGAAAAATTAAGAAATATCACATCTCGGAATCTAAAACTAATTAGGCAGTCGCATTTCGACGCCAGATTTGCAACTCCTGAGAGAGCTCTTACTGCACCCAACTTCAGCGCTGGGAATTTCAAATTTTGGGAAACTTAAAATAAAGTTTTCTAAAAAAAAACTTCAAAGATTTGAGAAGAAAGATTTGGAGGCAAGATTCGCAACCCCTGAGACTATCCTGACATCCCAAATACAGGGTTGCGAATTTCAATTTTCAGAAACTTTTACAAATTAAATTTTTCTAGAAATTTTTGAAAAATCTCGAAAATTGCCGTATCTCGTAGCCTAAAAGAATTTCTTATTGATATATGGAGGCCGAAATCGCAACATCCGGGAAACTCTGACAGCATCTCACTATTGGGTTGCTACTTTCAAACTTGGTGAAGTAAATACTGATTTCAAACAGGAAAATCGAACAGAAATCTTAACCATTGCAATATACGATATAGCTTAAACGTGAAAAAAATCTTTTGTTAATTATGCAAAAATAATACGTTGAAAGGTCTAAACATGGCGAGATAGTGAGGCCCGCATTTAAATATATAATAGATTCAGCGTTGCAATATATTGACATTTTAACGTGTTTTATGGAGACTTCTTAAACTTGTGTCAAGCGTAAATATTATATGGATTTGAGACAACTCACTTTTGTATCGTTGTAATGAACATCGAAACTCATGTATATATCTGCCATGAAGCACAGGGATGAGTTCATGGATGGGTCTCTCAATTCGATATGATTATGGACCGGATTTTTTGGGATGGGGTAGTTCGGTTCTATAGTAGTTGCAGTTATTGGCTCTGAAAGAGTGGAAGTAGCTGTAGATATCTCGATTAAGGGTAATGGTTGGGCAGCAGAAGATTCAGCGGTGAGATCAGAGTTCTCAGCTGTAGTTGCTGTAGAATAGGGTGATTTTGCATTAGATGTGGTTGAATTCGCAATTATCAAAGTAGCCGTAGTTGAATTTTGCTTTGGAGTTTTGAGGGCATCATTTTGCTCACGCTGACTTTCTTCGATCTGACTTTTTGTCTCTGTGCTCAAATTACTGGATTCTGCAGCAGCAATTAACAGACATACCACCAAGAATGGTTTTAGCATTTTTGGACTCTGAAAAGGAAAAAAAAATAACACTCCACAAGAAAGAATGGTTTGGATTTCAGTTCAACTAGCGAGTAACGGACCTCCGGTGCTTGAAACAGATTAGTGAATGGGAAAGTTCCTTATTTCAAAAAATATGAAAAAGGAACGAAATGAATGCAACCATTACAAAAGAAGGTGAATCCAACAAATCTTTTGATTTCAAAAATTAAACAATAAAAAAAATCAACTTAAAGGTTTCTTACAAGGTCCAATCTCCAAATCTAATGGGTTTCAGATCTTCGTAATTATAACTCATTACCGAAACCCTAGAATGACCGATAGCATAGAAACACACTTTTTTTTAATTAAGTTTTTTTTAAGTTAGCCTAATTGTTGTGATTAACTTTAAGTTAGCCTATTAGCCTAATTGTTGTGATTAACTTATTAAATAGATTTGTTATGTTTGATGTTTGTGCCTGTATGTGGAGCGCCCTCTGAGGGATTTTAGAGACAGGTCTGTCAAGTGGCTTTCTGTGGGGAGGTGGGGAACTGGAACTGGCTTGAGAAGTCTGGTGGTGCGCCGCTGAACCTACTGAGCTCGGGTGAGATTGTTCCTTGTTTTTGATTTTTAACCTTTATGCTGCCTTTTAACCTTTTAAATTAATTTAGTTGTCTTTTTTTTTTTTTTATTTGCTGATTTGTAAAATTCCCACTAACCGCTTATCATGGGTTAGTTCAGTCCCCTAAAGTCCAGTCAAAATCCTTTTTTTTACCTTTATGCTGCGTCAAGATGAGGAAAAACAACAAAGAGTGTAGTAGTAGTAGTAGTAGTAGTGTAGGCTTTAGGATTTCTCCATGGGTTTTGAACCCTCGTTTATAAGTTCATAATTTTTCCCGGTGGGTTGCAGTTTCCACACCAGCAAAGAATTCTCCACATACACAAGTTGTTTTCTGCAAAATTTCTGTTGAAGAATTTCCAAAACGTGTTTGTTATAGATATTTTCAGGCTGTCATAATCTTGATTTTCGAAGTCCACAATTTGGCTAAAGTAGTTGTATAGCGTAATAGAACGTATATAATAATTTTCATTTGACTTTTTCAGTCTTGTTGCATGAACAGCAATCTCACCACGTGTTGCTTGTCTCGTTCGTGATTCGTTTTTATGAATAATTGTATTCAAATCAATGTCATGTTTATTTTTTAGTAGTGAAACTAAGTACAATATGTCGTGTAATTCAAAGTACATTGAGAGTGGAAGGAGCTTTAAAAATTTCAGTCTTTCAGTATAACTCATTTTGAAGTTATTTGTAATCCAAGATGTCGCTCGTTTTTGTACTCTTTCTAGTTGTCTTAATTCTGCTTTGTTCGGATACCATGTTTGCGATGCATAGCTTATGATTGGTACGATGTATCCGCAGTATAAGTTTAATTTTGACTTTAAAGATGTTTTTTTCGAGATATTTCGTTTGATTTTGTAAAAAGCTCCCATTGCTTTTGATATGCGATTTTCAGCATTTACTGACCACGAAAGGTTGTGACACATTAAAATACCTAAGTCTTTTTGGGTCTTTGCGGTATCAACATTTGTATTAAATAGTGTAACTTCCATTTTCCCTTTGAGGTTTAACAAATTACATTTATCTTCATTCAGCGGCATTTTATTTTCTTTGCACCATTTTTCAACATTTGCCGTGTCTTTTTGCAGATGAATTTCTTCAGTAGACAAGATCTTCATATCGTCACAATAGCCAAAACAATCTGAATTCTCAATGCATTTGGGAAAGTCGTTAATGAATATGATAAAAAGTAGAGGGCCAAGAATTGAGCCCTGTGGTACACCGCTAGTTACTTCTTTCAGAGTTGATGAACTTTTATTGATTTTCACAAACTGCATTCTATCTGTTAGATAGTCTTGTATTATGTCTTGTATTTGAATGCTTAGACCTATGTTCCGTAGTTTGGCGACTAGGATACTATGAGGAACTTTATCAAAGGCTTTAGAAAAATCTAGATAAAGGACTGAGAGTGTTTGAACATTTTTGTCATCGTAGAGTTCATATACTTTGCTCAAAAATTGTACCATTTGTAGTACTGCTGACCTTTTTTGCCGGAAGCCGTATTGTGCGTTTTCCAGGAAAGGTTGAACTTTGGGGTATATATTATCAAAGATAATTTTTTCGAAGACCTTCGAGGCGGAGCATAAGAGGCTAATTGGGCGGTAGCACTCGACTGACGCCTTGTTCTTTTCTTTAAAAATTGGGGCCACTTGACTTGTTTTCCAGTAGGTCGGGAAGAGCCGCTTGTTAATGAATGTGCGGAAGAGAAGATAGAGCGATTTTGACAGAGTTTCAGAAAGATTTTTTAGGATTATATTACCTATACCATCAAAACCTGACGCTTTATTTGTTAAAAGATTTTTGAGAATGTATTGGATTTTGGTTTCTTCAATGTGTATTTGTGTACAGATTTCTTCTGTAGGAGAACAGTTTGTATTTCGTGCGAGAGGGTTAGGAATTGATTCCTTTTGATATACACTGATGAAAAATTCGTTAAAAAATGTAGCTTTTTGGGTGTTATCTCTTGTGGATTTTTCCTTGTAGAACATTTTTTGGGGATATTTCCTGGAACTACTTATTTTGTTCAAGTATTTTTGCAGGTCACTGAATCGTCTACTGCTTGTTACTGTTTCTTCGTAAATTGCTTGATCTGCAGTCAATGCTATTTGAAGATTTTTTTCCAGTTTTTTGTGTTTTAGGATAATGCTTAAATTAGGTTTGTTTTGCCGATCGATACGCCGTTTTAAGGTTTGTACTCTTTTTAGCATGTGAGACGTACTTGGCTTCACCCATGGGGGGAGAGTTGATCTGTGTGATGTAACCTTGGGTACATTGTTCTTTATTTTGTCCCATAACCATGCATACCACTGACGAAGGAGCTCATTTACATTACTGTAACAATACGGTATGAAAGGTTTGTCTTTTATTTCTTGATTTATTATCTTCCAATCGGCTCTGTTAAACGCCAGACTTTCATCTTTGTTTATTTCTTTGATACTGGCTTCCATGTTAATTGTTGCAGAGTAAGCATAATGATCTGAGCAAGAAACTTTGTCGATGCTGTATGCGTTTGTTGCTGAATGGTCCGTGTGCCAGTTGAGTATTACTCCAGGGTTGTTTGTTAATAAAACATCAAGCTGCTTTTTTTTGGAGTCGAATAATTGTTCATAGTCAAGTTCAATGAGCTTTTTTAACACTGCATTTTCATATTTGTCCTTTGAGTGCATCATTTTCCAATGAGTGTATTCAAAATTTATATCTCCCGTAATCGACACTGCGTTACAGTTGTGTTGTATTTGTAATTTTGTTAGGTTTTCGAACAAACTGATGAAGTTTTGTTGTTTCCATTGGTATTTACTGTTTTTCGGGGGATTATAAACACAGCAGAGTATTTGATGATGCCCAGTTTCACCTGTTAGTTTGGCCACTATGCATTCTTCATTTTCTATTTGAGCATCAATTTCTTCGTAATGCACATTTTCTTTTATCGCCATGAGTACGCCTCCGTGATTGGTTTTTAAAGTGGAGTTTTTTCTATCTTTGCGAATTATATTAAAACCAGCCAAATGCAGAGCTTTATCTGGTATTTCCTTTACCAGCCATGTCTCTGTGAGACATAGTATATCGTAGTCTGTTTGTAAAATGGCATTTGAAAGAGCTATTCTTCTGTTGATGTCTAAAATACTTCTGACATTTAGGCATAACATTTTTAAATACTTGGCAGTAGGTAGTCAATTGCTTTCTTCGACTTTTTTCCAATTTCCACTTTCTTCGTCATATTGGTAAAGGACAAGGTCCCTTAGCCTTAGGTTTTTAGCTGATACTCCAGTTTCTATCATTGTTCGTCTTTTCATAAGAAGTTTGTTCTCAATCAGAAATTCACTTGGGCTGAGCTCTTTTGACACAAAGACAGTTTTGTCGTAGTTTTTCAATTTTGCCAAGGACATTAGTATCAGTCGTTTTTGCCATTCATTTGAAACATTTACAACTATTGTGCGTGGCCTTTTTCCTTCTTCGTATTTTCCTAAACGTTTTAAATCTGTGATTTTTGCTTCAACTGTTAAGAACGCAAACAGTTTGTTCACCTCTTCCAAGTCGTGTTCGTGTCTATCTCTTGAACTTTTTGAGCCCAGTTCAAGCAGTCCTCTTATCCGGATTCCGTTATAGCTTGATTCTGGTTTGTTTAAGGCAGGTTGCTTTGGCTCATTTCTGTTTTGTGGTTTTTTGCTTGTTTCATCTATCTTTTGCTTAAGTGAATCTATCTCTTGTTTAAAAGTAGAGAATTGTTCGGCGATTTCATTTAGTTTTGTTTCAGCAATGGATGGACGGGTTTGCATCAAATCGTTGATCATCGACTCTTTCCTATTGTTTCCAACACAACAGTTACAGAGCAGGAGGACGTTCTGGCTGATCTCCGAAATTCCAAGGATGGCAGTTTCAGATATTCCAGTGCATGTTTTTGTCATGTGCATAACATCGCCACAGGCAATGCAATTAAAGATTTGACTTTTGTTTGTGATCGGCTTTTTGCATGTTTTACAAGATTTCTCAGATGCTTGCGAGACGCTAGCATTTCTGCGTCTTTCTTCTGAGCCCATATTGCTCAAAAAAATCTTCTCAGAACTGACACTCCAAGGTATAAAACCTCAGGAGAAAACCAGACTAGAGAAGACTTATTGAGTTTTTTTGATTCCCTTGGACTGATACTCCAAGGTATAAAAACCTCAGGAGAGAATAGTCTCAAGAAAATCAGACTCACCAGAACTAGTGCGATGAGGATTGGGCTGCTTGTTTTTTCTTTGCTGCTGCTCTCTTTGATTTGGTGGGCCGTACTCTGGATTTTGATCTTTGCTGAAGTACTAGTGAACGAAGGTTGTGACGTTTCGAAAGTACTTTGTTGAGCAACTTCAGCTCAAGAGACGGAGGGGGTGTAGTTTAGAGAGGGCAACAACTGTATCAATGTCGTTTTGTTTTTGTTTAGGAAGAAGTCGTTTTATCGCGTCGATGATAAGAGGTTTCGTCTTCCGTAACTTTTCAAAAATGTGAGGGGTACCGTCTCGACGAATGTATATGATCGCAGCTATTTGATGCTGAAAATTCGTGATGATTTCAGTTAACTGCTCCGGGGAACACTTCGTATTAAAGTTTTTGGGATGTTTTGTGATACTATTGTTTATCACGTCGTGCCAGAGAATGATTTCTCTGGATTTTAGGGAACCGTTTCTAAGTAACCACTGCAATTTCTTGAGTTTACTCACGTTGTTTGGGTTGAGGCTTAGTCCCGATTTTGCAAAAGTGAATCTTCGATACTTTACCCTTAGATCGTAGGGTAGGTAGTCAAGGGTCCTTCTGAGTGAGCTTGCTCCAACTACAATCATGTGATCCACCAACCTG